TTTTGGTTGTTAGTACATTTGCAAAATATAGAATACAGTAGTTTTGGGTAGACTGGAAAGCAATAATTATTATTAAAAAAATTACGAATCGAACAAGTACGAGTGAAAGGCTGAGTAACCGAACCAGAAGTTTTCTCAACTCAAAATAAGAGCAGTAACACATAGATACATAATATATATTTTTATAAAACTTGATGCTATAGACAACATATTTTTACTTCGTATATTTTCTAAATTAATAATAATTATAATAAAATAAAATGTACTCTGTTAATTCTGAGGTTAATTCACCAAATCACTTTTTATTGTTCACGCGGCACAAGGCTTTCCTCAAATGAAATAATAATAGAAGTCTGCAAATCTGTACGCAATTACGCAATACGCATGAAAAAAGGATACGCTTGGAAAAAGTATTTGTACTTATAGAAGTAATTTGTAATTCGTTAGTTCAAATAATATAATTACAAATTACAATTCCTATAACAATTTTGCTGCAATTACAATTCCAAATTACTTTAATAAAAAAAAGTACTTAAATACAATTACAATTACAGGAAAAAAAGGGAATTGTAATTGCTAATTACTTTTTCACCAGGAATTACCCAGCTCTGATTAACACATGCATATGTTAACACCTGCATGTACCTGCAAGTACTATTTATTTTCACTTAAGAATGAACAATATACTCAATAGTTTGTGGAAAAATTCTTAATTTTCATATAACACCAATAATTGTGTCACTTCAGAGCTATGTCATAGTTTTTAAACTCTTTTCGGAATATGTGTCGGTCATTTTTTTCGCATAAAAACTGCGAATCGCGTTTTAACGTGAACCGGCCTTTTTTCTACTATTTTCTAATCCTGCGAATAGAAGATGTGTATAGTGGATGGAACTTGAGCTAGTCGCCTATCTAATTGGTAAAAATCTGCTGGATTTGTTCATAAATAATGGTTGGTTTATAAAAAGGTATTAGTCCTAACTTAGCCGTAACTTAACCTTAATCTTACAATTAGTCCTAAAAAGTTAAATGTACAGAATGTAATGTAGGTATCGGTTTATAAAAATCTTAACCTTGCCTTAGTTCTACACTTCAGAAAAAAAAATCCAACTAAATAGCGTTATCTAATTTTACTGCTTACTAAAAAAACACATCATGTGAAATTGAAAACTTGACACCCTACATAATAAATTAACATATTGGACAGATAATAAATAAGGAAAGATACAATTCGTTTCCCAGAACTGATATTTCCACGAACCCCGAACCAGTGTTGTTTATGATGCAGGTGTCCAAGAAAACCTGTTGCCGGACGGCACCGAGTCGGACCGATTCCGGCTTAACTTGTGCCGAAAGCTCAGGCTCACTGCTCAATCCAAATTAGCCGCAAAGCTGGCAGTCTGTTATGAATGGTTACGGTCCCGATTTACATTGTTTAAAAAAAAAATTGAGTAATTTTATTTGTTTGTTCCTTAAGTTTTCTAGTCATAATTTGATGGATTGAAGTGTACATACATATTCGTCCTT